AATTTGGTGGGTTTGTAAAGAGGAATAAATTTTAAGTTACAACCGAACCAGAGGAACTGGTGCCGAAGTCTGGTACCAGTAAAAATATAAAAAAGCAACAACAAAGACGCCGTTCTGCGTTTTGTAGGCCCAATATGATACGCAGCTCCTCAGTACAGAAAAATGATCAAAGTATCTGACAATGAGTCTAGTGGAAAAAGGTTGCTATGGAGGCCCAATGAGAAATTCTTTAAGAAAGTTGAACTGGTCAACAACAACTCACCGCTGTTTTCGCTCCAAGCAAAACATCCCAACGGCGAGATATGCACACTAAGTGGCTGCTCAACTATCCACAAAAACTCAAACTGCATTGCTGCGTACCGCCAACATCTCACGGCTTTATCCGTGGCACAAACAAGACAATTCTTTTCATCAAACTCAACGCTGCTAACTCTGCCGTCCGTGCGCAAAACATCATTTTCGGACAACTATAAAAACTGATGGAGAGAGAGTAAGGTAAAAGAGAACCGGCAACTAACGTCAGATACATTCCAGATGACAATCACATCGGTATCCTTAGCATCACTCGGATGCGCAGATGCCCACATCCCTCTGTGAATGACAGAACCAGCGCGAAATTCTGATTCCTGACAGAAGAAAATTTAAAAAATTAAAAATGATGATTGATAAATGATAATAATGATTAAGCGAAGAGTGTGGAAGAAAAATAAGCACAATTTAGCTCAAAAACAATCTAGGTGAAATAGAAAGTGAGAATAATTAAAGCACAAGGGAAAATACCCGGTCAATTTGTCGTGACGGATCTAACTTGAATCGAGTTCCTTCTTCGCAAGATAACCACACATTCACTTTCCCACTTTTTCTTATGGAAAAGAACACCTAAGTAATTTTCTTGAGAGTGTTGCGAATGGATGTCAATTTAAGAATATACACCTTTTCTGAATCGGAATTGGGGCGTCTACAGCCAGTTACTCTTATTGTATCCTTAGAAACAATGAACGAATCAACCACTTGCACAAATGAACCATTATAATTGCCACGCTCCCAAAAACGAAGTCGCTTCTAAACAAATGTTTGAGAATATAATTTAAGAGCAGTATCTGGGCACAGCATTAATTATTTTGGGTCTTTATCAGATAATAGATAATCCACTCTCTGACTAAACTACCCCCAATTTAGGCAAAAAAAATCATATGATTGAGGAAATCGCTGCAGAAGTTTAGGTTGGCCTCCCTTGGCTTCTCTCTTGTTTTTTTTAGAGAGGGGAAGGTGATCGTACGGACCAAAAACCAAAAACTTGAAATGATCCCTTAGCCACTCATCCCCCTCAGTCTAAAAAGAACCTGAAATCTCTATTTTTGACAATTATACGGTAACTAAAGAACACCAATGTGGTTCAGGAAATGTAAAAAAACCAGGATTGGAATTTTGTCCGGATAGTGCCTTTATATCCTAAAGAGAAAACGTAGAAAACTTACATGTTCTTCTTCAAAGTTGATAACAGTTTCTAGAGTAACAATTGTCGTGTTTGAGAAAAACACCTGCTCTATGTCTGGGAACGCCTGCGTAATTCCAGCAAATGACATATCACCATCAGCTACATTTTCCAGGGAAAAACTAGTCTGTCATTCATTCGATTCAGATCAAACAAGAACTTTAGCAGCAACATAAGCAAACAGAATGTACCTGGTGATCAGTTTTCAATAGATGGCAACTGATCCATTGCAGAGATCCTGGTTTACCATTCATCACTAACATCCCAGGACAGCAAGGATCCCTCGAATTTGATTGTTTAGCATTAGCACAATGTTCTTAAGAAAGGCACTGCATGTATAACTAACGTTGTAAATACATTACTCAAAGAGCGGTCACATGTGACCACAGTCTGCAAGGTGGAAAGTATATTCATGCTTGAAGTAACCGCCACATGCACTGAGTTATCTTCTAAAAATTTTGGTTTGTTATAAATAGAAGTTTTCGGAGTGGAAGTCAAGCACCCAGTATAAGTGCCACATGAGTGTCATCTGCAGAGAGAGCCAAATCGCGTACAGCAGCAGCAAGGCGCGGAAGCATACTTGGTCGACCGGTACCAGAGAGCGCAAACTTGCAAAGAACACCTTCAGCTCCAGCAGAAAGAAGGCCACCATAGTGAGTTAGAGCTATAGCAGG